TTTATTTTTTTTTAATCTGGTTATTTATTTTACTTAAAACAACTGCAGAAGCAACCACACTGTAGTTATTCGAATTTTATATTCTAGTTATGTGATGAGCATTGTTTTTTTTATCAAACTTTGGGAAAATTTAAAAACAGTAAATTTACTAGCTCATCCATAATACCCAGATAGATGGTCAGCATGCAGATTTCCTGGTAAATGTGCATATTGACTGCTGAGTCAGTAAATTTACAGATTCAGGACAGGAATTCTGCAAATGACCATTTTTCCTGAATGGACCATAACACATTTTTCATTAACACACCAGAACAAATTGAATGATATCTAATCTTTCTTGCAAATTCAGAATCATATAGTTGAACGAATCTGGCCTGAAGTCAACAACCGTGTCAACTATCCACTGAAGACAGCCTTACTGCAGTTGGAGGATCAAGAGGAACTAGACATGAACGATGGCCTTGTGAGATACTGTGTATCCAACCTGACTGTTCAGTTGTGCCAGATTGGTCTCACAAGACTGGTGGACTCATGGAATTCTCACCGCATTCCAGGTGAAATAAACCAGTGTTGCGAAGATTAGAATAATTACAGCAAGCACTTTGAAGTTTCAAGAACTGAACTGATTTCTTTATTTTACAGGTAAAGGTGTACCAAACAACTTGGCTGGCAGTGGCTGTCCCAAAAAAAATCCCACAGGAGCTGCTGCCTCATTCAGTTGAAGCAGCAGACCTTTACAGCCAACAGCTTGGATCCTCATTGACAACACATTCTACTTTTGGAATTGATCCATTTTCAACTGAACAGGACAAACTAACAGTTGAGAATCAGTTTGCAGAGAAATATTCAGACATTTCAGTCTTGTTCTCGAGAGCAGTGAACGAGGACTTCGCCCCATACAAAGAAGCAGTGCTCTATCTTATAACATCAACTCAGCGCAATGTGTGAAAAGACATTTGCTGTATTTGAACTTAGTAGACCTTTACAGCTGGGATCCTCTCTGACAACACATTCTATTTTTGGAGTTGATCTATTTTCAACAGAACAGGACAAACTTGAGAGTTGAAAATCAGTTTGCAGAGAAATATTCAGACATTTCAGAATTCTCTAGAGCAGTGGACAACAACATGGCTCCATACAAAGATTCACTGCTCTCTCATAACCACAACTTTAAAGAATGTAAATTAGTAACTATAACAATTAACTGGTGGCAATGGATGTTTGGTAAAGATAAATGTTAATTTCACTAAAACAGTGAACAGTAATATGATGTCATCCAGCCCAAACATGTAAATGAATTCACATTACTAGTACAAGAACTCTGATCCAAATACAACAGAACACAACATGCCTACAGTATTTGAGTATGAAAGTGCAAAATGTTACTCCTCTTCAAAAAGGGATCTCAGAACAGAAAATGCCTCTGACAGACCATTAACTTCAAATATGTTGCTGCCTTCGGTGTTCCCTCTACATTTTGCACAATGCACAGAGGTCAACTGCCACTGTTCCACACATGTTTTGCAGCCAATAATGCTTCGGCAACACTCTGTGAAGACTGGCTCATCGATGAACTCTGAAACATAAAAAGAGAAAAACTAGTCCTTCTCTGTGTCCCCATCTGTCCTTAATGTGTTTTTAATGTACTGGATGACTGTGTTTTCTTCTTCTTTTTTACTGAACTTAAATGCTTCAGGGTTCCCACACATTTTTACCAACTCATTTTCAAAACTTTTCCATAATATTTTACCTCATTTACAAGACTTTATCTACATACGGTAGTTTTAAATAAGTAGGCTCACATAGTGATCAAAGGGTGCAATAATGAGGCTTTTAGTGGAGGAGAGGAGGATGAGGAAGAGAAAAGGAGATGAGAAGAGGAGGAGAAACAATAGCCATAAACAGTGTATATTCGAAATTTTTCCTGTTAATTTCAAACCATTTCCAGGTCTGGAAAACAGTGTTTCTAATTTAAAAACCTTTCCAGGAATTTCAAGACTGTGGGAACCCTGACTTTTAAAAGATTCTTTGTTATTGTATTATTACACAATGGGCTGTTACACAAAGGACTGCATCAATACATGTAATAACTGTAGTGGATGAGACACCTTGGTTAGTGAATACAAAAATGTGTATTTGGAAATATTAAATTCTGGCACACACCAAATAAAATGGCTCCAAAATTATTTTAAATGTGGGGCAATACTATCTTTTGCATACTTACTCATACAAACAACACAGCAGAACCCTTGCTTGATGGCCTGTAGCTGGGACGGAGTCAGGATGACTTTTTGAGTGGTAGCCAGACTGGTCTGCCAGTACAAGCTCTTCTACTTTCTCAGTGACATCTCCAATGCCTGCAGCATCTTCATCTTTTCGGCTGTTAAAAGGAAAAAAACATAGTAGATGTGTACTGGTTGTGATTTAGTGGTTTTGGTAGTGGTGGTGGGGTGGAAGCCTGACCTTTCTGGGAGGAGGATGAGGATGGGGAGAGGAAGCAGAGGAGGAAAAACAATAGCCAAAAACAGTGTATATTTGAAACTTTTCCAAAGCATCCTGTTAATTCTAAATCATTTCCAGGTCTGGAAAACTCTTTTTTATCATTTCATAACTTTTCCAAGAATTTCATGACCATGGGAACCCTGCATAATAGATTTCATTGTTTGGACAAATAAGAGTACTATGAATGCTTAATATTACCTTGTTCTCCTCCTTTTTTTGTCCTGCAACTCCTGGAAGTCCTGTTCTCGTACAGCAAGAATCTTTCGTGCATTTTGTTTCCAGTACTGTGACCCTTTGGAGTCGGGGTGGAAACCAGGAAAAACCATTACAACTTAAGTGGTTGGTCCAGACATGAGGAATCATGTGCCATCTAATATTCAATCACTAAAGTTAATACTTAAAAAATTAAATAAAATCAAATGTACCCACCTGTTGTTCCTTCTGACTCCAAAATTGCATTCCCTTGCGCATCAGTCAACACCACAGGGTCATGATTTCCAATGGCATCTTGTACTTTTCCGATGATCCCCTGCAGGGTAGCCTCACATTCCAAAAACCGGACCACCACCGTTCTGCTGGGACTCAACCTCCCACCAACCACCTCAGCGAGGTACACTGATCTGTGAAAATTTATAAAAATAATTGCTGACACACAGAGCATTCATAATCCTGGCAATGGCTAATGATGATGTATACCAACAATAACTAGAAAATGCGGCAATGATTTTGTTGTGTTTTAAGATGTATGGAAAATACAGTACTTTGAAAAATAGTTTGTGTCTGACATTGTTTTTCCACAAAAAGAGTCAAATATATTTTATTACAATCCTTAAAATTACGTCTGTTCCTTCTACCTTATTACAAATTCCACAATCTATAAATGTACCAATATTTTTTGTCTCGAAAGTTTAACTGTTGGACACAAGATGTCTTCAAGCTTCAGGTTTCCACATCACACTCGTGTAAGCTCAACAGACTTGGCTTCCAAACTACTTGTGATTTCACAAATCATGCTCTTAGGCCCCCCTTAAACTTGGATTTTCAATAAGCACAGAGAAACATTCCACTTTCAGCAGACTAATGTGAAAACAGCCTTCTGGTGACAAACTGTATATACACATCATTCTGCACAGTGAAGCTCAAACATCCAACTGTTGGAAGAGGAGGAAAAACATTTGAGTGGAGGGGGACGTTTATATTAGGGATACACAATAAATACCTGTTCTGATAAATTATCAGCTAATATTGGCTTATCCAGCAATATCGGTCCATATCGGTCCATGTATTGGCTATACTAATAAATGATTTGACAGATTCTCACAGCATTTAATTTGAATTTGTAGACAAAATGCTCTATAAAAGTTGTACATTTGTGAAGTTTTTTGATGAACTTTACTAGAAAAACTAAGTGAAAATTTTAAGAGTTAGAACTGTTTGTTTTTGTTGCAACAATGATGTCAGATCTTTTTCAGTCATGGCTGTGAAATATTAAATCATCTATTTTCGCACACAAAATCTGAACCTTTCTGGCCCGCAGTTGTGCAGAAACTACAGGTAATATGTGCTTCTTTTAAAAAATACAAATCTGAATTTATCAGTTGTCTATATCAGCTATGAGAAGCAGGTCATTATCGATTATCAGTATCAGCTGAAAAACAAAATCCAGATTGTGCATCCCTAGTTTATATTCCTTCTTCTATCTTTAGGCTGATAAACATGAAAATTTAATAATTTCTTCCTTGGCTCAGGACAAATCTACACACAAGGTTTCATACAAATCCACAAAGAACTTTTTGAGTTATTTTGCTGACAGATCGAGACACAGCAAAAACAGAAGTAGTGGAGGTAATTAAAGTTCTGTCAAAAATTTTAAAATGTGCAAAATACATGTAAATTAATGTAAATGGGTGAAATGCAAGTAGTATGAACTATTAATATACAACAACAACTAACTGCAAGGAAGGAGACAAAGAATGGCTGATATGATCATATCAAGCATTAACTAGGTGTTTTCGCAATAAAATCTAACTGTATTTTATTTCCCTTCCCTTAATTTGTAAATTTGAAGTTATAAATTGTATCACTATCATTTAACAATGATTTAAGTTGAAGTTACCTGTGAAAGGTTTTAGAGACAGTGGCTCGAGGGGGGGCTGAGGCAGTCCGCTGTGGAGTTGAACTTGTAGTGGTTGCAGGCGTGCGCATAAATGAAAAACGTTGCCCTGTGCTATTTGCAGGTCCTGAGGTGTCCTCAGCCTCACCATGAACCTCATAATGAGTCCTTGGATTGAGGTCCAATGAGCTGAAAACACCAGATGCCCCAGGAAACAATGCCACGTTTGCGTCGTCAGTCATGTACAGACTACGAGATGAGACCTGTCAAGAAATTCATAAGTCAAATTAGAATAAATACATTTTCATTTCCGATCCTTTCTCAATGAACATTTTTCAGTGACTACCGGGGTATCTTTTCCAAACACCAGCTTTCTACATGACGATATTATTGTATGTTATAGGGGGAGGATGAAATGACAATGAATCACGGAATTAAATTGTCTCTAATTAATTTATAATCCACAAGGTTATGTGAGGTGGTGGGAGAGCGTCATACACTTCATGGCTCCGGTCAGAGAAGAGCGTTTTCAGTGACATTTTAGATCTTTACTACATATCTGTGACTTGCTACCGATAGCAGCATTAACTAAGAACATTTAAGAATCGAGAGGGAGATCAGCTCCTCTCTGTGTGACTGTGTGAACACAACTGTTGCAGTCACCACGTCAACTGTCTGTTCAATACACAGGGTAAGCTAGCTGAGTTAGCCAGTTAGCTGAGTTAGGCAGTTAGCTTATTACTATCATATTATCGTTAGCCTCAGAGAGCGACACCCTGCTTTAAAGCTAGTTGCTGGCTATACCTTGATAAATGTTACTTTATGTATTCTTTTTTTTTACCTGAAATATGCGACTGAGTTTATCAGCACTCATGTCTTCTTCCCTGAGACACACTCGCTTGTTGTTGTGAAACACGACGTACTGATCCATATCAGTCGGGTTTAAACAGCCGCAGCACCGTACTCTGTTTGGCTCCACACCTGCTGATGACCACATCCGGTCTCAGAAAATGAAAAAAACGGACCTTTTTTCGTTTCTGTCTCTTACTGATTTTATTTTTTGTTATTCTATATAGAAAATTAAAATCAAACCATTTTTAAAATTTCGTATATCCCTTTTGGTCATGAAAAGAAAAAACGCCTTGTATTTCAATTTTAATTTTTGTATTTTAAATCGAAAATCAAATAACCACTCGTTTTTTGTTTTTTAATACCCGTTTCAGAACGGAAAATCCAATTGCCAAAATATACACGGACCCTATGAAAAGACGGAGGGCTGGGCTGTGTTTATATTGTTTTATTCTAAATGCATGTATACAACACAGTACAACAGAGGTGGTGACATCATCAAGTTCGCTGCTGTTCCAAAAGCAGAAATGACTGTACTCCCGTCCTCCCGTTCTCCTGTTCTTGGGAAATCCGGACTCTCACGTGGACTTGCCAAGTCCGAACTTGCCAAGTCCACAAGTCCGAACTGCCGAACTTGAGTATTGAGAAACGGCTTATGTCTATGGTCTGCCCCCAGAGGCGGTATCGCTGTCTGCTGGAAGTTAGACGCCGAATACAGCCGTTGGGTTCCGAGAATGGTATCTGCATAAATAGGTCATGGAATAAACATGGCCTTTGAAAGAGCAAGCATATGAGCACACTCAAATAGAAAAAAATGAATGAGGTGCATGGCCACAAAAAACTAAAAAATATCAAAGGAGGCCAGCACTCACAAATGTCCTTTGAAAGATCTTTTAATCTAAGCAGCAGAGCAAAAAAAAAAACAATGGACGCTTTTCAGCCATAAGCCTTCATCAGCGTTGACATATACATGGCCTTTATCAGGATCAATTATGAGATGGTGGACAGGTTTGACAATCAGCAGATGGATTTATTCTTAGTTTAGCTGCTAAAATCACATATCTGCTATCATAAAATCCTGTGATTGGTTCATTTTCTTTCACACCACAAACAAACGGCACCAGAGTCCGTTTGGAGGCAGACAGAGACCCACCTTTTGAGTGGTCTCGGTTTGGTTGTTTGGTCTCCACCAGAGTTTGATTGACAGCTTTAGTTTAGTTTTAGTTTTTAGTTTAGTTCATTTCAGTCATCACACATGCATAGTACAGTAATGAGAAACAATGAAACATACACATTCTATTATGCAGTAAATTCAAAACAATCTGGACTGCACAATTAATTTTTGTGTGAATTTAATAATGACTAAAAAAGCACAGGCAGACACAAAATGCTTATATAAGCCTGTCCTACATTGTTGAATTTAAGCTACCTTCCAAACCTTCCAACAAAACAAAGGATAACAATAATGTCAAATAAGATCATTCGCATTTGTAACCTTCAATAATAGCTTTGTAGGCTACATCATTCTTTTAAAAAACAAAATCGAGTTGCACATCCTCCAATCTGGAAATCCATCGGTAAAAAAAAAAAAAAAAAAAAAAAATTTTTCTTCCTTTACTTTCTCTACAATGTAAATTGCAGAATCTGTCTTGAGAGATTACACATCCTCAAACTAATATCGGCACTGTTCCACAGCTTAACTCCAACAATAGAGATACATCTTCTTTTAATCCATCTTTATCTGATGACATAGTTTCTCTAGATGGCATTGCTCTGGCCTCTAGCACTACCGTAAGAAACCTCGGAGTAACATTTGATCAAGATCTGTCTTTTAATTCTCATTTAAAACAAACCTCACGGACTGCATTTTTTCATCTGCGTAATATTGCGAAAATTAGGCCTATTCTGACCCAAAAAGATGCAGAAAAATTGGTCTACACTTTTGTTACCTCAAGGCTGGATTACTGTAACTCTCTATTATCAGGTAGCTCTAGTAAGTCCTTAAAAACTCTCCAGCTAATTCAGAATGCAGCAGCACGTGTACTAACAGAAATTAAGAAACAAAATCATATTTCTCCTGTTTTAGCTTCTCTGCACTGGCTCCCTGTAAAATCCAGAATTGAATTTAAAATCCTACTGTTTTGTATAACTGTATGTATATGACTGTATAAAGCTCTAAATGGTCAAGCTCCGTCATATCTTAGAGAGCTCATAGTGCCATATTATCCCACCAGAACACTGCGCTCTGAGAATGCAGGGTTACTCGTGGTCCCTAAAGTCTCCAAAAGTAGATCAGGAGCCAGAACCTTCAGCTATCAGGCTCCTCTCCTGTGGAATCATCTTCCTGTTACAGACACCGTCTCCACATTTAAGACTAGACTTAAGACTTCCCTCTTTGATAAAGCTTATAGTTAGGGCTGGCTCAGGCTTGCCTGTACCAGCCCCTAGTTAGGCTGACTTAGGCCTAGCCTAGTAATAATTTCCTGCAAATGTAATAGTTATTACATTTGCGGAAAATTGTGTGTTACGTTTGTAGTATGCAGCTGCTATTACGTTTGTGGGAAATTTATTACATTTGTGGGACATTACATTACATTCAAAGCTGCAGATTTGTATTGTGGTTTATTACGTTTGTGGGCTGTTATTACGTTTGTGGGTGTAACACTCCTGCGGCTAATGGACTTTTCTGTTAGGCTTTTGTTGTTTTGGCGTGGCTACGGCCCACAGTAGCCTGTGTTACAATCAGAAATAAATCGCCAGCTAAACCGGCTAACGTCTCGGCGTGTGGTTTTTGAGGGACGTTACATTATCTTAGCGTCTGGCCAATACTAACCTGCCAGAAAAGAAAGCATTTCCAGGGCACAGGTGCAGGAACTGCTAGACGTTTATAAGACATCGTTAGATCAGCAGGAGGGAATCTGGTGTTGAAATCACTGATTCTCACAGCAAGAGAATCGATGAGTTCCCCCTGATTTCACAGCCAGTTTGGAGTTCACTCAAAAGAAGTTGAGGGTGATTTTAAAAATCATTGCAAAACATGGGATGATACACGAAAAGATACTAAGAATGATGCTGAAACAGTCAGATGTCTGATGAATAATCCATCAGTGTGATCATGATATGTATACAGTGGGTAAAATAAGTATTTAACATGTCATAATTTTTCTCAGAAAACATATTTGAAAAGGTGCTATTGACATGAAATTTTCACCACATGTTGGTAACAACCCTAGTAATCCATACATACAAAGAAACCAAAACAAACAAGTTAAGAAATTAAAGGGATAGTGCACCCAAAAATGAAAATTCAGCCATTATCTACTCACCCATATGCCGATGGAGGCCCTGGTGAAGTTTTAGAGTCCTCACATCCCTTGCAGAGATCGGCGGAGTGAGCGGCAGCACACCTGATGGCAGATGGCGCCCCAGACTAACGTCCAAGAGCACAAAATTGAATCCACAAAGTATCTCCATACTGCTCATCCGTAGTCATCCAAGTGTGCTGCAGCCCCGACATAAAAAGTTGTTTTGAAAAATGTCATATGAACTCTGTTTTTAGCCTCACTGTAGCCTGTAGCTCTGACTGCTTCTCTGTGCTCCGCGCTCACGTGTGCGGGCTTGCGCGAGACCAGTGAAAGCATGAGCTTTGCTCACCCGTGTTTACATCACGTGACACGTGCACGGCAGGGGGAGACAACAGTAACCTGTTACGTCTCCCGGCCGCCTGTGTATTCATTATGTGTATGTGTGCATTATGACCTGTGTGTTTATTATGTGTATGTGTTTATGTCTATGTAGGCTATATGCATTTGATCAGCATGTTTAGTGGAGAGTTAGACCTCTCCTTTTCTTCCAGAGATCGTGTGTGTTGTGTTAACAGGTGTGCAGGTGATTCGCTGGATGATTGTGACGTTGCTCCGGCTGGATTGGCTGAGCAAGGGGCCCGGCCTTCAGTGTCAACAGTCACCTACTGGGTAACGAGTGTGACGTCACTGCTGCCGGATTGGTTGGGCAAGGGGCTTGGCCTTCATAATGCCGGCCACACGGAAGCCGCGAGACCACTCTTGTACATGGCAGCAGCGTATTGTATCGTTTTCTCTGGTTTTCTGTGATTTAGAAGTACTTTGTTGTTTGACCCACGTGTGATTATTTAGCTAGCTTGCTAAATAATTAATTCTTTTGTTAAGACCAGCGCCTTAGGGCCAACTGAGTCGTTTGTGTATATATTGTAAATAGTCACTGTCACATATTATTGTTTGCACGGAGCATAGGGGTGAGCTGCTATTTTTGTTATACCTGTTTTGTCGTGTTTTTCGTTAGCTTAGGGAGTTAGGCCTAGTATTGTATTTTTGTTTCTTTTGTTTTCGTTAGGAATCAGTTATTTCACCGGTCGGTAGACAGGTTGTTTTTGTTTGTTGTTTTGGCCTGGGCTCACCGTGACATCTTTTGCTCCATTTTATGTGCGATATTGTACAGTGTGTTTTTGGAGTGTGTAGCAATAAATTGCTCACCTGTATATTTATACTCGTGTTCCTGTGTGTCCTTACGTTACGCACCCACACCCCTAGACCGGGGCGTAACAAACCACAGAGCTAAAAGATAATTTGCTTTACGGTCTTTTAGCAAAGGACAGCCCAACATGTTTGAAGACTTTGAAATTGAGGAGGAACAGCATTTCTTTGTTGAGCCGTATTTGTTTGAGCCCGAGTATACGGACGGAACTCAGGCTAATGGATGAAGCAGCCGCCGCAGCTCATGAGCCTAACCCTCAGGTGTGCTAGCCGCTCCCCCCGCCGATCTCCGCAAGGGATGTGAGGACTCTAAAACTTCACCAGGGCCTCCGTCGGCATATGGGTGAGTAGATAATGGCTGAATTTTCATTTTTGGGTGCACTATCCCTTTAAGTTATGTTTAATGAAGTGAAATGACACAGGGAATAAGTATTGAACACTCTTACTGAAATTTCTTTAGACTTCGTACAAAAGCCTTTGTTAGTAATGACAGCTTCAAGATGCTTCTTCTATGGATGCTTCTTCACATCCATTGTGTGATTTTGGCCCATTCTTCCACACAAACAGTCTTCACATCTTGAAGGTTCCGTG